TACAGACAATACTAATATTAATGCTTTTTTCCCCTCCCACTTTTTGTTTGTTGATGGTTTCGCGGTGGTTTTTGTTTTGGAGCTTTTTTGCATTAAAATTAACTGTTTTACATTTACTAAATAACATTTCAACTTTTCCATTCTGGGAAAAGCACAACAGAATGCCCAGTGAATGGCAAAAAGTTCATTACTGGTATGCTTTAAAGTGGGAGAGGGAGGAATTTCCCCCACTTCTAATCAGAACAAACCTTCATTTGTGTTAGAAGGACAAGCAGAAAAGTGAGCTAAGGGTGAAGACACATTGTTGAAACAAAATTGAGTGAACATGTTGCACATGCAGATTACAAAGCAGTATTAGGTGCAGGTTAATGAAACACTCAAGATAGAGAAGTTCATGGCAGAGACATTTAACACATTTCAACACGTTTTTCTTACAGCACATAATGAAAGTATCAATGATAATTCTGAGGAAACTTCCAAGTCCATGATATTCCACATCCTGGTACCTGGATGTCCAGAACCTCTACTTGAGTGATCAGCCATTCTCTTTAACTTTTCACTGGATAGCCCAAAGGTTTAAAAATGACAGACTGAATCCAGGAGGCAATCTAGGTATTACAAATGTCCCTCTCCAACTTCTTCCAGGGCTTAGTTCTATAAAAATTAAATTTTATAGACAACTTTATGTACAGTAGTCAGTCATAATTCTAATTTGTTTTCAAAATCTGGATCAAGCAAGATATAATGACATAAACCAAAGTAAGAATATTTACTGAAGAATGATACCTCAATTTAAGAATGCAAACCTGAATCTAAAAAAAAAAGTAAAATAAAAATAAAATCTAAGTTATAAACAAAAAATTATAAATACCTGTGTCATTCTATTCTGTCAGAATCTGGCATAGAAACCAAAACCAAACCAAAAACCCCATTCTACTCACAGAAGACCTAAAGTGTTAGAGATCATTTCTGTAAGCACATGCAGAATCATACAGATGTCCTTGTTCTTGCACTAAGTCAAGAATAAGACTCTTGGGCAATTGGCTTTATAAAAAGGAGCAGGGCAGCATCTATCTTCTTTGAAAAAAATTAAGACACCAAAGGGAACCACAGAAATTGGAAGAATGTGTCTTACAGTCTTGTCAGAAAACCCACCAAACAACAAAACCTTATACCCTTTCTTTACAATTCTTTGCAAAAACTATCCAACATTAAGATAATGGCCTTTCAATCTAACAAAAAAAAACAACCAAAAACCACACAACACTTCAGCTGAGTTACAGAAAATAACACAGTATTTCATATATTTGTCTTTTTCTAAGAAAGAGTAAAACCACCACAACTAATTAATACTATATTTTTCATCTTCATTCACCCTCATAATCAAGAACTGCTCTTCCAAGTGAAACTTGCATACTGAAAAGCTCACACAAGGATCGTAAGAAGTGTCTGAAAATATTGACAAAACCAGAACTGCCCAACCAGGCAGCCATGCCACGCTAAGGCAGCAACTCAAAGGAAATAACTGCTTTATGTAGAAGTCTTAACATCTCAATTTAAATCACAGTGAATGGAGATCCAAAATATTTCTCTCTTCAATAGTGGTACCACAAGCAATGGGATAGAGGGCTTGCCTACATGCATTTAACAAGACAAAGCCTTTCTTCTCCTGCAGACATCTCTTTTACAAGACTGATTCCAAGCAAGTCTTTAATATCTGAAAGTGCTAAATTAGAACATGAGAAAAACAGGAAAGAGTATGAACTTACCCTAAACACTTGAACTATACAAAAGCATTCTTTTAACTCCTACTATCTCACAACAGATTTTCTAGATGCCCAATCATGATGCCTGAAAACATTTTTCCACTGTAGGTAAATCAGGAGAAAAGAAGTTGATTTACTTGGATTCCACCATTTACTACCCTTTGTCTGCTGATACACTAGGGTGTGTTTTTTCCCATTTTCTGCATAGCCAAACCACACTGAACTAAAAGGACAGGAGCAATATAGTCATGGCTTTTTGTAGCTGCAGCTCCAAAACTGCACAACTGTGGCTATTTCAGCAGCATTTCTCAGGATATTGTTGCTTGTTAAAAAGGACTGAAGCACAAAAACCAGCTTGGCTCCAAAGATATTTCTACAGCAGACATTGGTACTCCCTATACTTGCCATTTTTTTGCAATACTACTAAAGCCACTGTTTCTCTGCACTGAGCTAAAGCAAGTACAACACTCCTCCTAAGAATTACATCCTTCAAAGAACAATCAGAGTGAATCAGACAAAAAGTAGTAAGAGAAGAACCGAAAACAGCAGCCCTCAAAGGAGCAGAGCATGAAGCCTGTGCTCCCATCACCAAAAGGAATTCAGTAAACAGAACCTCACAAATACCTATGAAAAAGAAAGAATCTGCAAGGTAACAGCAGACTGACTTCAACAAGTTTGCACTTCCATCCTGGATAACTTTTTAACTGCTGTTATATTAACTCCACAAATATTTGGGGTAGGCTGACTGGTGGAGTTGTAGGTACTTGTATTTGGGTTTTTTCCACTTCTCTTACATGGTGGAGTGGGGGAAGAGGGGAAGAACACACTTCTTAAACACTCTTTTCAAAATTATGCAAATACCTTAAGAGAACTTCATCATCAAACCTCCTTTGATTCCAACAAATATAAAAAAAGACCCTATCATACCTTATGCAAATAAGAAATAAAATAATAAAATTTAATTCTTCTATTTAAGGTATGCCCAAGAAGCACAAAAAACTACTAACTTATCAGGTACTAAATCATTCTTTGAAATATAAAATAAACTCACGGCAGTAGAAGCATTTCTCAAAATTAAATTAACTTAGAAGATATTTACCATTAATATAAAATTAAAGCTTTACATTTGTAGTGAAAACTAAAGATTATGGAAGTGGACAACATTAAACCACTGTGCATGCCACAACTTCAACATACTGCTGTTTGATGTTCGATGATAAGAATTACTTTTTTTCTTTTCTGTTCTTCAGCTATTACAGCACCAGTAGTGTATCCTTTTTTAGCAGAGAAGCCACTTGCTGTTATGGCAGTCTGACCCAGAGAAAAATCCCTGAAAGTACTAAGCCTTCAAACACTGCACATGTATGAACAAAACCCTCACAAATAAAAGGAGCTATGCATTCAATATTTAGAAAGCTACCCTAATGCTTTTGAATATGGGTTTACTATATGGTTTTCTTTACCACAAAGATTTAATTCTGGAAGACAAATTCCTCAGGAGGGAATTCGGTCTTCTAGTTTCTGCACCAATTAAATAATTTTAGTTTGCATAGTAGTGTTCATTTTTTTGTTCATATTACATTTTTAACACAAACAAGCACAATAATTTACAGAGAACTTCAGTTAATAATATATGCTAGTTATCAAAAAATAGCTTATATTCATAATTTTATCAGAAATGTCAACATTATCACTTCCTTTGTACTGCAGAAATTGTTCTCATACTTAAATGAGATTAAATTGTATTTCTAAGGAACTATTCAACAACAATAAAAATATATTTTCGTCTGTGACCTTTTAATATCACATCTGAAGGATAAGGTTTAAATGCATGATAAGACAAGCTTATAATAGAACCACTTGCACATACTGGCAGAATTCCCAGTTATATTAAGTTGCATAAAACAGAGAGGTAACAAAGCATCAGAATGTTTCTGGCTACCACACCCTGGCAATCTGAATCCAACCAATATCACTCACAGAAATGGATATCCACTCTCTATGCACCTCATAATAGACAGATTAGGATTATAACTACACAAAGTGCTACCTTATTCACCACTTCTCATTAACACCCATTCTGCAGCTCTGAAGCCATTCAGAGCACCGGAGATTCTTTGGAGTTCCTGTCACTCACACCACTGCAAACTGGTTCAGCAATTTTGATTACATGTCTTTTCCATAAACCATGAATGGATTAAGTAAATGAGCACACACCCTCCAAAGACTCGCTTATTTCTCCAGATACAAGTAGGGAAAAATAAATTGATCATAACCTGATTGTTATGGAGCATGCATTTCAAACAGCAAGCCATAACAGCCTAATATACTACTGATAACTTTGACTAGTTTGAGACATTCCACTTCGTCCTCTGCTCAAGTTATTATTTCCTATGCTGAGGTTTTGTTTGGTTTTATCCATTTGTTTAATTTCTCAGGTTTTTGTGCTGGAAATAGACTTAGGTTTGGACAAATCAAAGAAAAGTAAACTTTATAACATCACATATGCACAAAGTATCTAGTATCCAGTGCTTGACTGCGAAGCTGAAGATGACTGTGCTTTAAAAGATATAGGTAAAAGGGCAGTATCATGAAGCACATCTAGTGACTGAAATTTCTCTTTGAAGATACAAAGTGAGCAGAAAGATGTTCTCCCAAATTACAAGGAACAGAAGCCTTAAACCAGTGTTTCAATATCAAAGAAGAAAAATTCATGTCATGTACTGTTTCTGAAGGGCAAAGAAAATGAACAGACTTGTAGAAAACTCAGAATAGAGGAAAGACAGTAGAAAAATATGCTGAACAAACTGACATCTGGGAATTACAAAGGCATGTTCAAAGTCATTCTAAAGTGGATCTAAAGTTAACATGTTAACCTAAGCAATGTTTTAACTCTTGAAGCATCTTAAATCCTGCATCTGGTAAATTTATTAAGAATCATAATAATCTTTCAACAGTTCATACAGCAGCATCAAACATCTAACTTCAAAATTATCCTGTAAGTAATTAAATGCTTTCCACTTAGATTGCTACATCAGGAGAAAAAGAACAAAAATGGCTACGACTTGCACGCACACAATCCTACAACTTGCATTCAGAAAAAGCCCATCACAATTAAATCAATTTTAGTTCTCCAATTAGAAATACCAAAAATACTGTTTTGATATTAAAAAGACCCAAACATGAACATGACAACTGAATTACAGAGATTATTCCACCTGTGTTTGTACTTGCCTAGCAATACTTTAGCATCTTCCACATCAAAATCTCCATCTCCGTCAGCATCATATATCCCAAGCTTGCCTAGAAGTGAAAAGGGAAGAAGAAGAGAGAATTAGGGATTCAGCCACTTGTTTCCAGCACAGTGGATTTGATGTGCAATGGTTGACTGTTCATGCTAGGTTGTTACCATATGTTTTTTAACAATTTAGCTCTACTCTTCTTAAACATATTACAATTTTCCTGGAAAACATTACAAATATTTCAAGTTCCTTTCCGTATTTCCTAGACTTGAGACTGAACACAGGTCAGTCTTTTTTCTGCACATTTCTTTTTGGTGCTGGCAGATTTAAAACAAAACTGTAATTATGTACTTGATGTTCAGCATTTGAGGGAAAATAAATAATAAACCAAAAATTAATCATATAATCACCTTTTTTTTCTGATTATATGCTTCCTGCAATTCTAAATTCCCAGAAAATACAGACAGGTATATTAATTTTACTGCCAAGTTAATAGAAAGTAAGCAGCCTACTTCCCAGACAACAGGAAACCATTCATAAATTTTATCAATGATTGTATAACCTTCTATGCAGACAAAAGGTGTCTGCCCTTTCATACATGACTAATACATCAGATTTCTTACTTTTATTTTTGAAACTGCAGCACTAAGTATACGCAAAAGGAGGACTCAGTTTCTAGTAAAAAAAAGACTTTTTAGCATAGAATCATGGTATCCAGGATTTGAAGTGTCCTGGGATCACCACACAAGTAGAGAGTTATCTAATTACAGTTTTGATAAAATTCATACATAACTTTTACTTGGATTAAAACTCTGCAGAGTTTGCAGAACTCTGTGTCCTTGTTGTTGACAGTTTTATTATACTTGTCAATCTCTAAAGGGAGGCAGAACTTTAGTGCTATCAAAATAAATGAAATATAGTTCTTAATATGGTACTTAGAAAATTAGAAAACAGTTTTGTAGAAGAAAAACTTCAAACTTGGGTCTAGAATAGACAAAAGTATGTCTGTCACTCTTGTGTGGAAGCAATCCATTAGAAATGATGTTTACTGGTTTGTGGTTAAACAGCAGATTGGTGAAAAAAATGCAATTCTCTAGAACTAAGAAATATATCATCTTCAAAACCATGAAGAATGAGACAGATGAGAAATGACTGAGTTTCATGTCATCACAGAAGAATAGCAATTCTTACAAAAATTAAAAACATAATAAAGTAAACCAAAATGTTCAGCCAAGGGACTGTAAAGCAAGCTTATTTCTCTAATATCCTACCTTGTAGGACCTCTGACAAGTTATAACGGAAATCCTTTGCTTTGGCTGCATGCACGGCAAAAATACAAAAACCATTATTCGCATCACTAGACCCAATTAAGTTTCAGACCAGAAAATTCTCTTAAAAAAAAAAAAAAATCAGTCCAGATCAAAAAAGCATGTACCAACAGATTTTGTTAATTCAGCAGTTGTAAAAGCGCACATTGAATCCTACAACATCAGGGACAACAGCCGTACCTATGGACACACATCTTGAAATTTGAGACACTCATTTGCATCGTTAAATATTACACTTCTAGTTCTTGCTTAAAACTGTCACATTGAGATACAATTATCACCATTATAATCTTAAAATTGAGGTCATTCAACAGCTCACTCATGAAAGGATGACTGATTAGTTGTCCTGACCCTACAGGCACCAGAGCCCGTCAGACGAGAGGTAACATTAGCTGCCGACTTTCAATCACTGCTGTGAGTTCCTGAGAGCTTAAACTCAAACAATGCATATTTAGCTGACCTCTCAAATGAACTGCAACATTCATGTTACAAAGAGATGCATCTCTACCCTTGGAGATTTCCTCAGTTCTTTAATAAATGCAGGATGTCAATATCCTTTTTCAGTCTTACAAGAATCCCATTTTAACATCATAATAGTGCTCAGCATTAAAACATACTTTTGGAACGACATTGCCTATTCTTATCAGGTAGGTCATTTGCAAACACCACAATAGTCAAATCAGCTATCTACAAATTTAAAATGGCCTTCATTTAATGCATATCATGATAACATTAGAAGCATCTTAAGATTTAAAATTCTTACCTAGAACTTCTTCATAATCTACAAGTTCAAACCAGACAACTGCTACTGATGTCCAAACTCCCAGCAAAGCAATTACCATAAACCAGGTGAAAAATGAGCTTCCAGAGAGGCCTTCTTTCTTTCCATTCTTGCTTCCTCCATGCTTAGTCTCTGTTAAAACAAGACAGACAAGTAGGAAAAATGGACTTGTTTAAGAGTTAGAAAATAATTATTGCGGATGCAATTGTAAAACTTGTTTCTTATGGCTACAGAGGATGCAAGACATTTGAGCAACAGGTTTTTTTGTGTTTGATTGTTGTTGTGCTGGGGTTTTTTTGTCTTGGAATTTAGCTGAAAATCCCACCATGCTCCCCTTTTATGTGTATTTACACGGAACTTAACATTTTTGAGATGCTTTGCATTCATGCCTGCAGTTTCCAGACTGCCACCAGAGGGTACTATGGCCAGAAGAAAAGGTTTGCAGAAGAAGCATTTTGCCTAAAGTAAGTTTCAAAACCAGTTGAAATATCCCATGGAACCAAGATGACAATTCAAATAGACAAAGAAGGCTCTAAAATCTGAGCCATATTAAGGGTAAGACTCTAATTTCAGACGCTTAACCAACTATAAACATCTCCCCTGTTGCTTACAGAATCACAGAATCAATCACGTTGGAAAACATCTGAGATCATCAAGTCCAACCTATGATCTAATACTAATATCACAATGACAACTAGACCATGGCACTAAGTGCCACATCCAGTCTCTCCTTACACACTTCCAGGGATGGTGACTCCACCACCTCCCTGGGCAGTCCACTCCAGTGTCTAATCATCCTTCCAGTGAAGAAATTCTTCCTAATGTCTAACCTAAACTTTCCCTGGCACAGCTTGAGACTATGTTCTCTCATTCTGCCACTAGTTGCCTGGAAGAAGAGACTGACACCCACCCGCTCAGAATCAAGCAGAGATTCACTCCATGCTACGTAACTTTAGACTTTCGGTCTCAAGGGACATACAAGTAAAAGGATGACAGACACATAGAGCAAATCACACCTTCATTTATAACTGTGCATATGGAAAGTAAATGTATATTAAAAAATACAGTAGTTATAAACAAACCACTGGGAAAAGACAGACCTCAACCTAGGAATATGGGTAGCAGGTTTCAAATGGGCATTACCACTGGAGAAGGCATGAATTGCTTGGCCTGTGGTTTTAGGACGATTTTAGTGAAAATTACCTATATAGTAAATAAATATGCATCCACAAAGATGCCTGGTGGCCTTTATCCACAGTTCAAGGTCTGCTCTTGTGCCTCCCAATATTACTGCTACAAGGGTGGCACTTGGCTGTGGCTTCATGCCCATCAGTCTATTCTACTTCATTCCATTCTAAGAACCAGCTTTTGCCTGTTCAGCCACACACCGTCCTAGTTATTCAAGGAAAACTATTTCTAACATGTTTTGAAGTACTCAAGGAAATCTGTCATGAATACGTGATAATACAGTAAGGAGTCAACTTTACCATACTATCAACACTGATCATAGAAAAAACCAAAAAAATACTCTCAATAGCTAAATATCAACCCAATTGTTTTTTACCGTTTACAATTGGAGAAGCTCTGAAAAACATGTAATGAGAGACTGGTGATGGACCTACTTCTGCAACCAAAACTACACAAGTACTTTCACACCCTGCTTGCCATCAGGTTTGCAGCTGTACTAAACTAACCTTTTATTATATTTATTGTGTCACATACTGAGTTCAGAGCAATAAAAAAACTTATATCAACTCTTACCCAATTCAGTATTTTACTGAAGAAAAAAACTGTTTTATTAAGACTACTCCCTGCAAATATCAAATACCAACTATTTAGATTCTTTTCTACATTAAATACAAATGTCTGATAATATTCAGATAGAAACTGAAACAACTTAGCCTCACATCAGGCATGTATCACTTGCTACTGCACAGTCCTCTAATTACATATGTGTAAGGTCCATATACGCAGCTCATTGTAACATCTCTCTTGTGGAAGCTTAAAAATAGAGAGACAAGCAGCATGCACTAATACATTCAGAAATAAGCTCAACTGTGTATGAAAATTACTAAAAGTACTCTTGAGCTAGAAATGTTAATATTCAGACATAAACAAGTATAGTGAAGCCCTGCTGTTACATACTAACACCTCTGGTCCCAGGTAGTCAATAAAGCTTTGTATATATCTAAAATGAAACCCTAAAGCTAAAAACATTTTAAACGATTTCAGGTTATGACCTTATTCTAGAGCAAACAGGAAAGAGAATCTTACTGCACTTCACACTCATTTGCCTTACTGTTTTCTATTGTTTATTGCTAGTTGCCTCCAAAGAAAGGGGGTTTACTTATGAGAAGAACAGGGAAATAAAACACAACTCATTTAAATCATCAAGAATAGCGGTTCATATTTTTCCAGTATAAAAGACTGTTTCGTGTAAAACAGGTTCTACTATAAAAATATAATTCACAACAGTCACAAAGATATGTTTTTATGCTGTGGCTTCCTACCTTACAGCAAATTATTTTCAAAACTCTTGAGAAACAACTCAACCATGGCAGGTCGATCACGCAACACTTTTACATAAATGGAGGTTATGTAACATAACATTTTACCTATGGTTTGCACAGATAATGCTACATACAGGGTCAGAGCAAAACACTGCAAGGACTGAAGCTGGCTCAGAGCTCATTTGAAACAGTTAATTCTCAACTCAAGCCCTTTCCCTGCACATGCTGCCAGCCATGTCAGAAGTAGGTCACTTGCCATATCTGGTAAGCCTGTGCTTACACCGCCAGATGTCTTTATGCAGACATCAGAAAGTCTTAAATCGTGATCTATTCCTCAACGGCAAATCTATAAAATCCTGTATTTCACCCACCTCTTATTAAGTCACTCCTAGCTAAAAATATGAAAATCCTTTTACTTCGGCTTACGTTCAAGATCCCTAGACATTTTACCTAATCCAAAAATAACTCTGAATTCAGATATCTGAAGACAAAACAATGTCTCTTAAGGTCACGTATGCTTTATTAAAGCAGAATATAAGTTACAATTAACCACCTGCCATAAATGCATGAAATACTTCTAATCCACAGAACATGTATCAAACAGAGGTAGCCTGTAATGCAGACCAGAACAGACTGGCAAAAAACACCAACATATGACCGTAAGCCAGTTATTCAGCCGATTACAAAATCAGACAAGCCCACATTTTCCATTTGCTCACAGAAAAGGTTAGGATTATACCTGTGTCGTCAGCCATAACATTAGTGCTCGATTTCCACCGACAGAGTGAATGTGTCAGTATCTCCAATAATTAATGCTGAAGGCAGAACAAGAAACGATTTATCCTCAATGTAGTCTTGCAACAGGAGCAAACAAATTTCCTAAAGCTAGCTCAGCTGGAACCCGAAACTGGACCCAAGAGAAATCTCTCCTCCAAATCTATTTTTAGAGCAGTTATCCTCAGGAGCCAAACGCTTTTCAGAACTCATATGGCAATCTAGTTCTGACGACAATCAAATTCACTTACTCCTCCAAACAGAGCATCCTGGGTAGTTGATCCTTTCCCCTCCCCTTAATCCTCCAACATCAAAAACAACAGCAAATGAAATCGAGCACATTGTACTGTAGTATTTTCACTGCAATGTATGCCACAGTGCCTGAGCTCTAAGGACATTAAATCCATGCGCATAAGCCGAAATGCAAGTCAGGACACAAAGCTTGCCTGCCTGCATTTGTTACATTGGCCATCATCCAAGAAACTTTCTCCATGTTGGCATTCCTCTACCAGGCTTCCCAAGTACCCTCTAGAGACTGCTCATTTGAAACTTGCTAAGCACTTTCAGCAAAAAGAGACAACTAATTTCTGCAATGTAACTTTGAGTGTCCTAAAAGAGTTACTTGAAACCAATCACATATATTCTTGCAAAAATGTTTTCAGGTCAGAACTGTTCCCCAGTACACATCGTGTTTGCTTCTAGCAGACCCAAAGGAGGGGGCTACATTTTGCCAAAGGAAATCCTGTTTTCCTGGAGCACAATATACCCCATGCCATAAAGCTAAACCAGGCAAAATTTCTATTGCTTATTCATTAAAAGTAGCAGAGCCGTTGCTTTTGCTGCGTTGCCCTCCCCTTCCAGAAAGGGCTAACACTAACTCATCTCACCCCGTTAAATTCTGGCAATATGCATGCCTCCTGCACAATTTAAGCTGATACAAATGATTAATGAGCAATATATGTCCTTCTTCTTACAGACTAGAAAAGGAAGAAAAACTCACTAATACACTTTTGAACTTTTTTTTACATCTTCAATTTTAGAAAACTATTTTTTCCCCACTGCATTTCAAACAAGTCATTTCTCATTCACAGCTACCCTAATAAAAACCTCTTAAGATCTTTTTAGATCCTTTCTTCCAATACACTTCTTTAAATAACACAGCCATTAGGTAGATGGAATGACCAGAAGAATGTTACAGTCACTTTGAAAAACAATATATACCTCCAGTGGTTTTAACATCCAATTACCAAATGCAATTCCAAACAGCTCAAGGGAGAAAAAAAGTGAGGAACAGCACCAGAGTTTAAAGCTTTACAAATGGATGAAAAGGAACTACATGCAGTTGATACTATAACTAGTGTCTCATCTTTAAAGTCACTTGAACACATTAAACAGATCAGATGCTTTAAAAAAGACCTCCTGACTAGGGCATTTAAACAAATTATGCGATGCACAAGCAATTCAGAGCAACGCAGGAGGAAAACGTAAACAAAAAGCAAAAGTCACCAAACATACGGCAAAATCAGCAGCTTATTAAGGAACGTAATTTTACATGCAATTATATGTAGTCTATTGCATGTAAAACATACATTGTTTTGACAGGCATTGGATTGGGCAATTTGTTGCAACTGCACTTCAGCTGCACCTGCACTTACGGACACCAGATCTTACTACAAGTGGAATCATAATGCCTGCAACGGATGCTGAGAACCTCAAGTCCATGTTACACATATTCTGGGGGACTGGTCCAAACTAGAACTCACCTAGCTGAATGCCCGTAAGGGATTGCAGGATACCTTTCTGCTTCATTCACTCAGACCTAAGTGAGCATATTCTACTCAGGGATGACAAAAGCAAAGGGAGTGGTGACAGTCAAGGAATTAATTTCAAATGTACGCTCTAAATCTGAACTAACACACATACGTGTGTGTTAGTTTAACCACATACACTTTAACCAAATACTCACAGCTTTTATCTCGAATCCTTTAAAAATCAACTGATTGCAACAACACAGTCTTCCCAAGAAATGACAAACATCATCTTCCCTGAAAGGGGAGGCTACAGCTAAAATGGGGAAACTTCAAACTTATCAAAAGGAAAACAGAGCAAGAGAAAGATGGACCAAGGAGCCACAAAGCTGATTATACACCCCATGAACAACATACATTAGAACACACATTGAAAAATACAGCTTACATATGTATCTCTTGGAATGCTATAGTTCAAAATATCAAATAACATAATTTTGGTTACTGTTATGAAAGCTAAAGGTTAAATTTAATAGATATCTACACAATACAATTTGAGATGAGAACAGCTAAGTCAACAGAGCAGATGTCTTACAAGGTCTCATTCTACCGTGTTCAAATGCTGTGACTACCGGTTTGCTGGTTCTTTTTGAAACAATTCAAATTGCTTCACTAACACTCAAAATTATTATTCTTCGCCTCATTTGTGTAACTGGAGTTTTTTACAACTATTTTCAAGTTAGTTTTGCTATAGCTATGCACCCCACATATTTCAGCCAATTTTACAAAGCATCATTGAAGACTAGCAGCAATAGTTCCACCTCTAGATCACTACCAGAGTGCAAGCAAAGAACTTTAAAGGAGGAAGAAAAAAAAAAAAAAGTCAGGCTTCATAGCATCAAGCTAAGCTTTTGTAACATGTATAATCATTTCCCACAAAGGTGCGTTAGGAAGTAACGCAGAAGCAATTAGCATTATCACTTGAATAGAAGGGTGCACACAAGGAGGCAGTTACTAGAAATTAGAAATACAGACTAAAAGGAAAAACAATAAAACACTAACCTCAGAGAAGTCGCTAAAAATTCAGAAGTGGCAATTATCAATCAGCTAGATCATGAGGAGACTTTAGAACAAGTTGTGTTAAAAGCAAAATGCAGAGTGATAAAAACAGATATGGAAGTAAAAAGCTAAAATAAGTTACGTAAGAATCATTCTAACACCAGTAGAGTGGAACTAGTAGCAGTGCAAACACAGAAAACCTCTCTTGTATGAGCATGGCATACTACCCCTTGAAATATTTGCCTTACCTTTTCCAATATGATAAAACCACTGCTGCAAGCCACTTTCAGTCATAGAATTGCAGGTAACTGTTTTAAACAGTTTTTGCATAGAGAGGTGTTTTTTTTGGGTGGGGTCAGTAAAAAGTAATTTGGGTAAAATATTTATCAAAAAGAAATTTACAGCATTCTCTGTTGACACTATTTTCCCCTTTTCTATTAAAATACAAGATTCCCAGTCCATGCTACTGTGAGATGGGTCATATATGGATGTCATACACACACACACTTTGTGATACATATTTTCAAATGCAGACTCAATAAGCATATATGTTGAACTGTTCCACTCTGAGAAGGCCCCACACTGTAAGGATTGGAAGTGCTGTCCTGAGGTAAAATAGATTTTCATGTTCAATTTTCATTCAGCGTTATTTTATACCAAGGGTAGAATAAAACACCTTCAATGGACAAATCTGTGCTTTTACAAATTCTATTTCATTTTTTAAGGGAGACAGGTTCCTCTTAGGGATCTCTTTGCTTACTTTACAGACGAAACAGAGACTTTTACTAAAACACTTATGGCATTCATAAAATATTCCAACCTTAAATTTTCCCAAATATCCATACTCAGAAGTTTTTGTTTGTTTTACAAACAGTCAGGGCAACAGGGTCTTTATTAAAAGTAAACCTTTACTTTAAACTTTAGATCTTATCTCTGAATCCAATATCAATTCTTTGTGATACAAAATTGATTCTTCCTTTTAGTATCTAAGAAATTTGCTTCAGCACTATACCCTTAATGAAAATTATAGGGGTAAAAGTGGATTTTTAAATTGTTATTATTCTCATTAACCAGTAGATCTCTGGGATAAACTTTATACAATATAGTCTACATGGTTGTAAAGATACCTGTGCATGTTATCAAAGGACTTTAACAATCTAAATCAGAAACTTACTCATTAGGAGCAGGGGAATGGATGGAACAGAAGGAGCTCTAAGTTCAAAGAAAACATGAAGACCAGAACTTAAAGCTGAAATAAGAAATTAACCAAATGAAATGCAATTTTGGCTCTCCACTTCTCTCCCATTTCACAGATTTTTACATTAGTATTTGAGGAACATTTCCTTATTCCACATAGAATGAATCCACACATAAACCTTTAGGGTCCTAAAATTTCAATCCCTACAACTAAAAACCATAAATACTTAAAACAAGAGTGAAGTCATAAATTCAGGATTTGACAACAAAGCAAGCAGATCATGGAGCTGCTGAGGGTCGCCAACTGGAGGGGGGGGGAAAAAATGGGGAAAAAAAAGGATGCATCACAAAATATGCAAAAAAACCTCTAGGATCATAAGCACCCTGCTG